AGGGGGACTGAGAGGGGGTGAGCAGAGGGGCAGACACAAGGACGGCTGAGGGGGGAGTGGTGGGCACCAGGGGGCAGAGAGGGGTGAGGGGAGAGGCAGGGCAGGTGGGTAGAGGGTGTTAGGAGATGGGGCTTGGGAAGGGGCAGGAGCCAGAGGGTCAGAGTGGGGCTAGAGGAGAGGTGGGCACAGGGGGCATGAGGGAAGGGCTGGGTGCCAGGGGGGCAGAGAGGATGGGGAGGGGGCATGTGCCAGGAGTGCTGAGGGGAGTGAGAAGAGCAGGAGCCAGGACAACAGAGGAGGGTGAGAGATAGGGTGGGCACTAGGGGCAGAGGGGGGTGAGGGGAGAACTGGGATTCGTGAGCAGGGGGAAAAGAGGAGCAGAGGCCAGGGAGTAGGGGAGTGAAGTGATGGGTGGGCACCAGGTGCAAAGAGAGTTTGGAAGAGGCGGCAGGTGCCAGCCCACGAGTTCAGGGTGAGAAGGGGGGTGGGATCCAGCGGGGCAGAGGTAGGTGGAGGGCAGGGGCATGTGACAGGGCAGGGGGCATGTGACAAAGTGGGTGGAGAGGGGATCATGGGAGCAGAAAGGGGGTGAAGGGAAGGGGTGGGGCAAAGTGGAGCCAGGGAGGATAGAAGCAGGGGCCAGGTGGGCACAGAGGTTGAGGGAAGGGGAAGGGAGGGGCAGCAACTAGGGGCCGAAGGGCGATGAGGAGATTGGCAGGTGCCAGAGGGCAGAGGGGGTGAAGGGGGCAGGCCTGCGTCTCTGTTGCTTTGGGGTCGTGTGTGGTTGGTTTGTTACTAAGAGAAGGTTGGCAACGTCCCCACATACACTGGCCAGGCAGCCCTGCCCCAAGAGTGGAGGTGGGAATCTCCATGCCTGCCGGCCCCACGGGCACCACCTTCCATCCAGGCAAACCCCACAGCCGGCCCCTCCCCTCCCCTCGCCAAGCCCAGCCCCTCCCCCAGGTCATGGGAAGTGGATCTGTGCTGGGCTCCTGGGTGGGGGCAGGACACTGGGGGGATGGGCAGTGGGAGGATGCTTGGAGGTGTAACTGGGTAATGGGGGGAACAGGGGCCATTACTAATGAGGCTGGGGCAG